CTTTTTCCCTGTCTTGTATCATTTTGGGAGTTGTTTCTTATGGAATTCGAAATTGATATGTATTTCAGGGCTGTATCTGATACACTGGTATGATAAATATCAACTATTGATGATTGCGTCTGACTTATTAGTGTGTTCGTGATTTTTCTTACTCTAGTATATATCTAAGAAAATAATTGTTGTTTATGCAACTCTGTTAACTTTGTAGACATATGTGCCAATACTGCATGCAATTCTATTCCAATGTTCTCATGATTTGGTATAAGAAACAATCTTAAATGTGCTTATATATAATTATATACTCCTAGCACTAAAGGAATTCCCTTCACAACCTCATAACTGCTTATGGCAACGAACAAAAGTAAGACAATAACTGTTTTATTTTTAACAAACAACCGTGCATAGATAATTGAAAGTGTAAAGCAATGATACAATCTTTTTATAAGTATTGGGGCAATTTATTTATTTTATTTTTTAACAGTATGAAAATTATAGATGTTACAAGTCATATGAGTTCAAATCGATTATTACAAATTCAGCTCAAAATAAGGTTTCAGCTGCAATCCAATTCGCGAGAAATGGAAAAAACAAAAGAAGTAAAAATTAACACTTTCATGTTATCGAAGATTTTTAAACTGAAATCACCGCATGGATTTAATGAAATCATTTGTATAATTTTCACCTTTCTCAATTTTATACAAAATAACGCAACAGTTCAATATATAGAACACAATAAAATGGTTTCCCAACCCTGCGTACTCATCGGATAGACGTTCATGGACTAGACGTGATGATCGTAAACCTGGCAGGACGTAAAAGTTCACCATAGTTATCTGAAACCACCTCAAAGGCTACAAAACATACTGGGCCCTTGGGTACGCTAGCTGCAAGAAGTGTGTGATCATATTGGAGAGTAGCAGTCACTCTACAAATCTTCTAAAAGTTGCAAATCAGGTTCGACACCGATCTCGATATTTCCCTATTTCTTCACGAGGCCTTCTTTACCGGCGTGGAGCTTTGTACACATCACAGGCACGTCATTCCCCTGCTTTGCACTTTCTATTTCCACTGAACGTTTTCTGAACACGTGCATATTTCCTTCGGCCATTCTTTCCCAGTTCCTTTCTTTATATCCAACGATTCGTCCTGCCATCATGTCTCTATAGCCGATCGAGTAATTTGCACCCTCAAATAGCATCAGAATCTGGAAAGATGAGAGACCATAGACATGTGCTGTAACATCCGTCGATGTTTGCTCTCATTACTGCCGTGGACACTAAATATTCCGTGCTGTATAAGATGCTCGTAGCTTTTGCTCGGGAAAAAGAGAAAAATACTATATTTATATATCAATCAAAGTTCCGCTATGGACGTGTAATCGATTGTAGATCTAGAGCCTCGATAAATCTGTAATCGACTTGTGTCACAATCCGCCACAAAAATCACGTGTCAAACCCAGTGCTAGGTCAGAAACCTGAATCTATCACTAGGCAGTGACCCTCAGCATGGTGGTTGATTTTCCATTTCTACGATAAAGACCGTCGTGTATACATTTAGAGGCAGTGCAGATCAAGAAAATTTCCGCGGCTACTGTATAGCCTTGTTGATTCTCCTTGACTTCATGAATGGATGACAATGGCCTGATCTGATCTTTCTTGGCGTTTTCTTCCGTCATTTGACTGATATTAGTATTGGGATGACAGCACATGAGCTCTTTCAATCTTAAGCACCCAAGCTATGATGCTTCTCTCACATATTATCATGGTTTTTTGTATTTCCAAGAGAAGCAATTAATGTGGGATTCAGCGTCACTTTATCCCACATAAGACTACTTGACACTTTTCATGACTTTTGGAGAGAGTCGAAGCTATGGAGATCCGACTGTCTATTTCGAGATTCAGGAATGTTAGACGTACTTATTCTATTCTTCTCATCTCACAAACTTCATGTCCTTCTCGTGTTCTCATGGTTGTTGTTGACCTCGGCAAAACCATGCATAGAAAAAAAAATTAGAAGGAAAATTCCGGAGAGCCATTCAAAGTCGGCTTAATCAGACTGTGTCCACAACATCTTTAGAAGATAGTCAACAGACGGTCGAAGAGAAAATTGCAACCGGAAGAATATTTTCAGAAGAATCCGGTAAGTGCCTTGAATATCATCCAGATTGACCATGATAGTAGTAACGAGCCGATCATCTGAAATGAATCCAAGGGAATAGCCACCTGCGCCATCTCAAACTCATGTGACATTCCCTGAATAAGAGGAGACTCGGTCTTGACATTTGACGAATGCTTCGAAAGCTATTCACAGTTACTCTTCAGAAGGAGCTCACTCACAGATATCATTAAGCTCACTCGTTACAAGATACCCGATAGACATGTACACCGAACTTGACACATCAAATGTGCACCTTGATGCATGCAACAATTATGAGAATGTGCGCTCTCGGGAGAAAGAAAACACTTTCAAATCATCTTTCGATGGTTTACAGCATGTTCAACATGGAGAAAATTGAATTGTTGTTCCATGCTCTTCGAAATGCCCTGCTCGGGAGCAACCGAATATTTCAATCACACACAAGAGAAAGATGTGCCTCGAGATGTGTACAGACCGAGACTCGGCTTTATATCATTTGAGTCATGCTGCTGCTGCTATTACTGTAAGTCGAATTATAGCACCTGCTGTACGTGCGGGAAGCAGGAAAACAAGGAGATGCACCACGTGGAGCACCTTCTGAAATCGAAGGCAGATGGCCTCACAAATTTCACGGTCAATTCAACCGAAAACATTCGGGTGTGTGGACTATGAAGTTAGCTGGCACGACTTCGTTTGACTGAATTGTTTACTTGCGTCAACTCCAACTTCCATCGAATCATAAGCTGTACCTGCTTGATAATACTATTTGCCCAATCGTCGTGTTTCTCAACGTTGTGAATGTAACTATGCAATGAGCCCCGCCCGTGGACTTGGTATTTATTCACCTCTCTCGTGCTAGATCTTCCAACATAAATATAATTCTTTCTACCTCGATATTCTTGACACTACGCGCCTGTGAGCTATCAGATCCACCTACATTTTCTTCGAGATTGCCGCTACAATCCTGTCTTATACAAGACTATCGCACTTTCTGCATTTTCTACTCCTGTCTATCAGCTATCTGTATCGAGACAGCAATTCTTGTCCAGGCATTTTCGTAATTTGTCGTTTCGGCATATTGCATCAACTTCATCTCCGTTATTCGGTAGCTTTGAAAGAATCTACAGGCCGGAACAATCTGCTGTATGATTTTTCTAGCGAGGGTTTTCGACAAGTGATTTGTCGCATGTTGAACTTGACCCTGAGTACGATGTACGTACTGGGCAGAAAAGAATCAAGAGTCTAGAGATTGGGGGACTTTGCAGTCACGGCCGTCTCTTGTATCGGAGGTTATGGTTTTTAGTTTGGTGCGTAATGGTTAATTGTTTAACGATGGAGGAGCCATTTAGCTTCAGAATGTGAGTGAGTATTAAGGATGCAGTGACAGTCCACGTTTCAGCCCGTCGCCCGCTCAAGCAAGACCAAGTCCCATCTTTCAGAATACCTGGCCACGCCCTCTGGATCTGCACATGCGCTCGAAAGCAATCATGTGCCTTCCCTCCGGTTCAGATGTGAATTCCGACGGATGTCCATCGTCTCGAGGTCCGCAGCAGCAGCAGGAGCCAGCTCGAGTACTGCAGCAGAGACTGTCAGTATGTATTGTCCTATCCAGCAAGCTTGCAGAATCGTGAACCCCCGCTCCATTAATTCCCCCAAGTGAGCACCGAATGTCTCGTGGTGTTGGAGGTCGTTGTTACATTCACGTGCTCGTTCTTTCTCCCGATCAGCTCGAGGAGAAGGAAAGAAGCATTTATTTTTAGCCATATCGCACATCAGTGGCTGCTGCTTCCGCCTCACACTCTCTCTCCTCAGAACTTCACTCGCCTACGGATGCTCGAAAACTAATCCCCCCGATGACAAGGGAACCGATGATTCGGGCAGACCGTGAGTTCTGAGCTCCGAGTCCATCCCATACGTACACATGAGTCAGAACGCCTCGAAAATTTCCAGAATGCGAATTCTCGGATGTGGATGGATCGAGCGAACTCTATCGGAGAATTCGTTCCCTTTTGCCACATGGCTCGAACGACTCGTGGACGCCAGCCACGTTGCATGCACGTCGGTCTGATTTCATGTTCATGTGCATGCCGCTATGGAGGCCGATGAAGGAAGAAAGGAAGGAAGGAGGAGCCGAATAAAACGTGGAATCGCTCGAAGTGCGCAGCAGAGGACGAGGGAGGAAGGACGTGGTCGCCGCGACAGTGCGCGATTCCAACGACCAGTCGGGTACGGAACAACATCCTCCGAGATCTTTGTTGTCGCAGCCCGTGCTGGTTTCTGAGCATGATGACCTCGACCGCTGCTGTCATCCGGGGCATATGCGCGAGCTCACAACTCTCTCTCTCTCTCTCTCTCTCTCTCTCAAGCGAGCCCGGATGCCAAAGTCACGCCCCAGCAACGTCGAAATTCTCAGCGCTCGGGTCCTAGAACGAACGAAGATCGGTCAAACGCGAATCATTACGCAGCAGCGAGAGCGAGAGCGAGAGCGATGCAGGAAGAGACGAGACGGCGTTGGCGTCGACCATCGGTGGACGACAGCCGCAGGGACAGACATCGGCCGGACCGATTCGTACGAGCGAATCCCAAGCTCAGCCGTATACGCGAGAGAGAGAGGGGGGCGGGCCAAGTCCACGTTCTGGCTTTACGAGGATCGAGAAATTCCGCATGTGCACACTCCGATAATCCGTTTTGCAATAAGCAGCAAGCGGTTTGGATCTGCTGGAATCTACAATTTCACGGCCGAGCGATAATTTCTCGGACAATCATGCAATCTTCGCTTATACTTGGCTTGTTCTGGCCGTATGATGCCGTATGACTCGGGGCTTTTGTCGATCGATCCAGCCAGGCTCGACTGGCGCAGGCTCTTTGGACGAGAGCCTGCTTAGATTTGCCCTCCGGCCTGCCTGGCCCGAATCCAGATTTCCGGTTGGATCGAAGCTGCCTGAACTCGAACGATCCGAGCCAGGGTAGCTCCTGGCCATGCTATGCGGGCTCAACCCTCGGCCTCGCTCGATCGTCAATCATGAAAGCTCGGTAGTATCTGGACGACTGAACGACGGCAAGTGTCCGAGCGCAAGGGTAGCGGACGTGCCGCTGGATTCTCTCTGCGTCACAGACCGAGCTCAGCGAGCAGGCCGCGGGTGGTGGACTTTAGTCGCCATGTCGGCGGATCCAGGGCTGCAGATCCATTACAAAAAATTATTTCCCGAGTCCAATTGGCTAGCCTCCAATTCTTGTCGATACATACACGAAAGTCACGAAGATGCTTCGGCCTTTGAAGCAAGCGAGCAAGGAAGGAAGCAAGGCAGGCTGCAGAAAAAGCGAAGAGGATTTTGCGTGATGCTTGATCTCGTTGTGAATTTTTGGTTGCATCTGCGCGAGTCGCCTGTCCCCAACAGCCAGCCCATGGACTGATGTTCGAGCGAACAATGCGCTGCCATTCCGGTCGTACCCGGGAGAGGAGGCGGGAGCGCTACAAATCTACGGATCTCGGCGTGTAGTCCAGAGGGGCGGGGCTCATGGTTCCCCACAGGAGTATCACATTCACTGACGCGAGGACGACAGCACGAGCGAGTCGACCCGCACGAGCTGGCACCTGAAGGGAGAAGCGGAAGATTCAAGAGATCAAAAAGTGCCCGCAGGGTCGAAATCCAAGCACGATCGTGTGGGAAGAGGAGGAGGCCTGCCCTGCGCTCGCACCTGGTCTACCTAGGTCAAAGAAGCACCTCCCGGGCCGACTCGCCTACACTGAATACATTCCCGCTTGGACAGCACCCAGCGAAATGGATCGGTAGCCTGGCCGTAGCTGGGACACGGATCAGAGCTCATCCAGCTTTGCCAGCCAGTGTGGATCAACTGTAACGACCTTTCTGGAAATATCAACATCGTAACCGACGTAACCTCCTCGTATGTCTCTGATTCAGCTTTACGCACGCGATGGAACGATGCACAGCCTCGGGCCCACGGGCGAAACATTTGATCTGGACCTGATTTCGCCGCGACTGCACTTCTCTTCTTTTGCTCTTTCGTGCCTCCCCTCGCCCTCCAGAAGTCTAAAAGGCTCTCGTCTTTCTCGTCTTTCTCGCCTTTATGAAGCGATGTGCCAAGCTTACTCCTTCGTAAAGCGATGGATGCAGCATGAGCATGAGCGCTGTTAAAGATTTGCAACATGTCCACCGAAATGTGGGTTTCCATTATGGAAAGAAAACGACATACCAAGCGATCCTGTACGTATTTGCCTTTAATCATACGTAGATTCGCTTCGCTTTAATAAAGTTGCTCACTGTTTTCTTCCACAGAACACATATCATTGGTTTGACTTGCGCCAGGCACCATCCTGTAAATGGGAATAACGAGTCACGCTTCTTAAAGGTCGAGCTCGGTTCTTCCAGTCCTGTGGATAACACCGAGGCGAGGTTCGATCACCGCAAATCTGGTCATGAGGAACCGCCTTTTGTTTTAAAGAAAGCTGCTGTTCGTTATTTCTTCATGGAGATGTTCATCATGACGAGGTCTCCTAATCATCGTCACACGACACTTTTTAGTCCATGATGGTCCGGAAATTCCGAGAGCAGTTCATGTCGAAGACTGCGATCTAGCGAACTCGAATGCTCGTGAAAGCTCAGCGAAGAAGAAGAAGACCGTCATCCTTAATGACGGCATCGATGAAGCAAGCAGGGCAGCCAAGCTGTTACCATAAACTACTCCAGTAACCACTTCCTGCTCCATGGAGATCTCCGGATCCCAAGGAAAAGCTACATGCTGCCAATACTTTCGGGAAATCCTTCCGTCGCTCAAGGGTCCCGGGAGGTCATTTCCTTCAACTCATGTCTGTTCAAGAATCAGTTTGGGGAAATTGGGTTGCCGTTGCATCACATCCATCTCTGAGTTCCTCAAGCGGGCTGGAGATCAGAGAGTGCAAAAGCGGGTAACATTATAATGACCCGAGGACCATGAGATACATAAAGCGCACTACTGCCAAGAGCACGCACAATAAAGACGAAGGAACAGACCGCCCAATCCAACCCTTGACCTATTAACTACTTTACGTTCGTGGAGCGGCAAGTCCTTGTGTAGGCAGGATCCTTGCAATTCACTTGATTTGGTTCCGAAGATTTCCCTTGTCTGCCCTTTTGAGTTCTGCAAATGGAAACGAACTGGAGGAGACGTATGAAGGTGAAACTCCGCACCCCTGCCCTTGTGCCAGTGACGATGGATATGGAAAAATGAAGACGAAGGGCTAGGCTCAATGGGCGAAATGGACACCCTTGACTGTATGTATGCAGTCATCGGCGACACACGTGCGTGAAATTAAGAATACTTCAGAACGAAGGCAGATCCACTACTCTGTCCTTGTCTGGATTCCGTTCCTGGACATTGCTTTCTTCATTCTTGCTTGCTTCATTCACACTTCGTCGATTCGGAGTTGACTACTTTCCAGCAGCAGTGAAGCTGGTTGGGAGACTTCTACCATAATTCAGAGTGGGAAACAGAAGAGCTGCAGAGCTCAGGGGAGCCAGCCATGAGAAAAATTATGGCAAATTCGAGAACTCTTCGATCATTGGGGGAGAAAAATCAGGTCGTAGTGCTGCAACAATCCCCAGATATGGAGAAGGAATGGGGTCCAAGGTCTCGGCTCTGGACGCAAAATCGATCGAACCCCGAATCTTCAGACTGAGAAGAAAATTCGTGTCGCTCAGGGGAAGACGACGGTGAGAGTGAGTGATCTCGTCACCAAATCAAAGGTTCAAAGGTTCAAAGGTGACAGCTTAGATCATCATCGAGATCCTGTGGAGATCGGTAACTGATTCCAGTCAAACCATGTCGTCTTCACATGGGAGAATATCTTAGAACCCACGAAATGTACGGCCGCTGAGACTCCTGCTGCTAGCACACAAACGACTCGACCCGTGCTTACCCTGACACCTAGACCCAAAAGTGATCCGGAACAGTCATCCACCAGCTGCCACCTCCAGATTTCATCACAAAGGTGGTGATTTGGCCGAGCGAGGAAAGAGATTCAGACAGCTACGCACTTCTACGTCTCGACCTCCAGTCACAGCCGCTGCCGACTCTGTGACTGCTTCGGAGGCTCGCATGGGAAAAGAGTAAAGTATGTGGTGCATGACAAGTGCACCACACAGGGATGGGATTGTAATTTTGGCAAGCGCCTTTTGCTGCCCGCAGAGGGGTTGACTCTGATCTGCGAGCGGGGAATTCGACTGGAATTTACAGTATACAGCATCCCTCCCCTCCGTACGTGCAAGATTGACTGGCACCTTTCTGCTCGTAGAGTAATGCAGTCGAGACCTTGTCATTCATCTTGCTCGCTGGCCGAGGTCCAGTTCTTGGATCTCTTGGCCACAACAACACCCAACCTACATCAGATGCAGCGGCGCTTCTCTCCTGTGCATCGCTCCACACTCATGTGCAATGTACCGCACGGAAGACTCGGGTGCTGATGTCTAAACCGTCGTTAATCGGATGGGATTTGACTGGTCCGAATCCAGCCCGTGCAGCTGGTGACGCCAGTCTAATGGGAATTGAGCACTCTTTTCGAGAGACGATCTTCTCGAGGTAAAAGTCACGCCCAGGAATCGGGATGCAGTGATTCTGTCATATCTTGTAGATCAGGGCTGCTGAATCGGGTCTGAAAATCTCCGCTTTCTCGAGCCGAATCCCCGCTTAAGCCAAGCGCAGAGGACCGATTCAATGCCGGCTCGAAGCGCTCCTACATCCTCTCCGTGGATGGTGGATGAGAGTCTGTAGAGGTATGACATGTCTCGAGCTTAGCACCCTTCGGCGCTAGGCCTTTGACAACTTTTAGCAGTGACGACTGGTGAGCACTTCATGTCAGATTTGGAATCTCATCCGGATGACATCCCAGCTCATCTGCAAGCAATCACTGCGAGCTGATTGCTTACACCGTATCAATCACCAGCATTGCATCAGAAGCATCATGGCGGTTCCAGAAATCCTGGAGTGCTGGGACTCCGAATCCCTCCTGCAGACCCGAGAAACTTGTTTCATGTTTGTGTCGGGAAAGCCTCTTCGATCGCTGGAGGAGAGATTGCTGTGCACGCACTCGAATCACTATTTTTTTTAGGATCGAGCAATTTGAGTGCATCAGAATCGCTCTCCACTGAGCAATTCGAGCACGAGGAAATTCGTGACGACCTGTTACGCTAAACGATCGCATGACAGAATGTTCTCGTGATTTATACGCGCGTTCTGAAGTAGAGTAGTTCGGTCGTGGGCGTTAATTCTTTCTGACTCACTCTCGCTCCCTACACTTACTTCGAGCGGGCCTGAACTTCGCTGAGCCCGATGTTCATCGTCGTCAAGGACGCTCGCTCTTCCATGCTTTCATCGATCCGAAGACGAGAGAGAGAGAGAGAGAGAGGGGGGGAGCTCAGACCTTCGCACATACGCACCGCTCGGAGAGCTAGCGTCGGCCTCATTCCAAAATGCGAGAATTCGCAACCGGGATGCGAGAGCTGTAGAGCGGGACGATCGCTTCCCCATGTGCACCGAAAAGGTCGACGACATCGCGGGTCCTGTCATGGGCCGTGGGTGGATCGATGCCGAGCGGACCGAGTCAGTCCGTCGGCTGACAGAAACGCCGTTGACAAATTACAGACATCAATGATCGAACGCACTTCCGAGCCCCGAGGCAATTAATTAATGTCAACCTCCCGGGGATGCGAACCCGGACGACCTAGAATGGCGTGGCATTGCGAAGAGCATTGCGGGCAGATATTTATGCGTCCTACTGCTGCTGAGAGGGCTCCATCTCTGAAAATCTCTCAAGGGCCGAGTCTCCGGTTTGACCGAGATGGGAGATCAATTTGCTCATGCCAAGAGAGAGATCTCGAATCCGTGCTCGAGCTGGGGCTTGTGCGCGGCTCTGTTGCTGTGGATAAAGCTCGCGCTGAACGCGTGTTACGCGATCTAAAACGCAGAGAGGCGGAGTTTGGTTGAGCGTAATCCGAAAGAATCTGCTTTAAGACAGAACAGAGCGAGCCTCGCCCAGATGGGCCCGGCTGCGCTGCAACCTCGTGCTGCTGGCCCGAGCTTTCGCTTCGCTTTGCAGTGAGCGAGTGAATGAGGCAGTCAACTGAGAGGCGCTGCGGACAATCACACCTGTTGACTGCGCAATGGACGTATGAGGGAGGCCGGGAGGCGCGATTAATTGTCCACGACTCCATGACACCGTACGGGATCGAGGTCGTCGACAGGAGGAGGCCTGCGAGGGTGAATCCGCAGGTACTTTCTCTTTTGTCATCTGTACGTCGCGGTCCTCGTTGTCATGGTCCCCAAGAAACCGTTCTTCGGCTTCTCTTGCACATTCACTCGTCCCAGAAACACCCTCGCCCTCCTTCGCACGGGCAGGCGAGGTGGAGACGAAGCCGCCCCCGGTGCTTCTCTTCATGCCCTTGTTCATCATCATCATCATCATCATCAGGAGCAGCAGCAGCAGCAGCAGCAGAGGGAGGGAAGGAGGCAGGCAGGTCTCATCCAGTGGAGCTCGCAATCGAACGAGCGAGCGTGCATGCGCAGCGCTAGCTAGCGCTGTCACTGTCGCCCCAATAATGCGATGATGGGTAGTGGTCTCGACGGGACTCACAGTGATCCGAATCGCGAGTCGAGTCGGTTCGAGTTGCCCGATTGAATGGGTCGTGGCTCGGCCCCGGTCAAGCTGGAGGGAGACTCTTCAGCTGTCTCTCTGACATTGATTATGTTGCGTCGGGCGACTGATGATGCCTTCCCGAGACGGAGACGGAGACGGGGACGAGGACAGGATCAAGGACAAGAGTAGGTTCTCGCGTTGAGATCCATGGGCCAATGACCAGCCGGGCTCAGGGCGCAGACTCGGCCGATGAGGAGGAGGAGGAGGAGGAGATCATATGGCTGTCGGAGAGATCGGCAAAATGTCTTGCCTCCGAGAGGTTGCGCCCGGCGCAAGATGGAACCGAGCAGGGCAGGGCTTATTACGCGCATGAAGGTCGAATCCCGGATTCATGCATCAGTTCTCACCGCCTCGAAGGTACGGCTGCGAGTGTCAGCATGCTCTGGGGACACCGTACCTTCAAAGGACAACGGCGTACGAGAGAGGAGAGAGGATTCAGCCGAAGATTCGTCTCACGGCCGCCCTGGCTGGCTGCTCATGCTCATGCTCACGACCACAACGCAACGCATGTTCTCCCACGGCCCCGAAGGCTCTCACTCCCTCCCTCCCTCACTCACCTGTGGCGCTCGAGCGAGCCCCAGAGGCCCAGAGCGAATCGTGCCAGATTCCGCATGATTTGACTCGTCCCCATTTCGTGTTGTGTACATCATCGAGCTGCTGCCATCGATCCACGTCCACTAATAGCCTCCGACGCAGCCTGGAAATTTCCCGATACGGCAGCCCCCGATCTAAACGACAAATTCTACTCGCTCTCAGGCCGGCTCGCTGGCAGGCAGGCAGGCAGGCAGACCGGCGAAGATCAAGCTCGCCACCGATCGATCGACCGCAACTCGGTCGAGCTCCGATCTGGCCGTAATTGAGCCAGCGACGACCTGGCCCTGGCCTCGGACGCATGCCTTATAATAAGACGTACGAGCGTTGGTTGACACTCTCACGACCGACAAACGAGCCGGATGGGGTTGCAGGCGAGCGGCTCCCAGCGGCCCTCCCCCGCCTCTGTGCTTTGTCGTATCGAGAGGGGGGGGGGGGGGGGGGGGGTCCATTGGATGCGCGGCTACCGGTAGCCCGAGACAAGACAACGACGGGCGAAGGGGGGAAGGGGGAAGAGGAGGAGGCGAACGGGGCAGAGGTTTTCGGGGTCAATTCGCTGGATTTCGGATAAGCCCGGACTCGCGCCCGGCCGCTGCTTCGTCCCTTTCTTTTCCTTTCCTTTCCACCGCCTCTCAGTACGGACGACGACAGACTGACGGACGGACGGTCTGCCGGTCTGACCGACCGACTAGCGCCGGCCGTGCCGGTACGCTCTGTACCCGGTACGGACTTGTATCTTTCCACCGTCCGGTCCTCCGGCGCGTATTGTATGTATCGTATGCACGCCTCCTCCGGTGCGTATTCCCCCCCCCCCCCCCCCCCCCCCCGAACTATTAATGGGCCGTGCTGTTGGGGATGGGCGCGTATCAGATCGCTTACTTGTGACGTTGTGCTCGCTCTATGCATCCCTCGTTTCATATCGTCTCGCTCTTTATCGCTTATAGCTTTCGGGTTTATGCGTCACCTGGACGTAATCCGGAGGATCGATGATGTTGTAAATGAAGAGCAGCATCCTTCTGAACAATGTCTACCGCCCTCTATGCCCCTCGCTCGCACAATTCGTTCAAATAGAATCTTTTCGAACAAATCATATTTTATGAGTTCGATCGCCTGAAGTTTAATAATTTCGTGTCGAGGTCCTTTGGCAGCAATCATGGGGAGAGAAAAATATTTGCTCCGAATCGCTCGTCGCGAGGGCAGTATATTGACATCCGCTCTTTAATGAGATGCAGCAAAGGAGACTGGCTCTTGGCCGTTGCCTTAGATTTCTTCGACCTCGCGTCCAGCTCGGTCGATTTGACAAAGCGTACATGTCATCACGATTCAGATCCACGTTTGCCGAAAGATCCGAAGTTAATCAGGTCGATTTGAAGCACGTGCGGACTGCGTGATAAAGTCATGACATGCTATGAGTAATCAGCATGCTAAATACCCAATGCCTGGTATAATGAAATTCCGAAATACTATGCAACGTAGTGTGCCGAGGAAAACCCACAACAATTACATTTTGCTCATCATGAATTGCTTTTTATTCAGTTCGGGTTTCGTTGACGGTGCATTAACAGACTATCATATAAGTAGCCAAAAGTAATACGTTACTCATTTGGATTCAACCGGAGACTTATTAATAGCATCACTATGATATACAGTTACGATTGGCATCCAGGATATGGTATTGATTACTCATTAAGGAATGCTATCTGCTGAATAACAATCACATTATGTCATGTCTTTCTAATTTGTTTATGAATTATTTATGAATTATTTGACATGGATATGTTAGGTACGTCGTCACATATTTACTCTTTGGATCGTACTTCATGTTAGATTGCGAAGATTCATTTCTCTCCTTATTATGGTTGAAATCGAGGTCTGATGCATTTTAATAGCTACTTGTTTATTGAGAGCTCAAAAGCATAATTGCGCAGAGAAACAATTGTATGATCTGACGTAGTGCAGTCTTCAGTCAACGCTCCATACATTCTTTACGACTACAAGGAAATCCTGGTGCTCTTAGGAACTCTCGTCACGAGCTGGAAGGACTAAACCCATGTAACTCTTGTTTTTGCGTTAAGGAAATTACTTGGAGGGGATGTAATAAGATGGAGTTTCTGTGATAGTGGATCCGAGATTCTTTATCCCCCCAGTATGACATGCAGGAAAACTGAAATCAATTATTTTTATATTTATTTTTGAACGTATCTATCAGCAAAGTCAGCAACGATATACTTGAATGCTTCAAAGGATGAACTCGCCATACGATCGGCTCAAGCAAGGCTGTCGTTGAGGTAAAGTTATCGAAACTGTGAAGAGAGTTCACTCTCTCGCGTCCGGCCTAAGTCGCTCCTATAGTGGTCGCCCAAACATGCACAAGCGATTGTCGTTACACAACATTGTTCCAAAGGATTTTTGTTCTATTATCGCCAGGATAATCCAGAGGCTCGTAAACATTGCGCCACAAGTGACATGCAGACGCACATGCAGTCGCACGAAGCGTTCGTTTTTCAACCTCCTGGCCGCTTGGCTGCACTCTCAAGTGGACAATTATGTAGACAGTAAATAAGCCTACCAAGGTTAGCATAAGTTGTCTGTATCTCTGCGGACCCAGAGTTTATTCCATTTCCTAGTCCGTGAGGATCCTTCCTTATCGAGGATACTCGTCGTATGCAAGACAAGCTCGAGCATTTGTGGATACGTTGTTTGTTCATATTCGCAAATAGAAAATTTCCACATAAACACGAGAATTGAAAACCAAAAAGCGAGATATCTTGGTTGCCTAACTTATTACTTTCTGGATAGTCCAAGAGGCGTAGGATCCACTAAGGTTTGGACTGCATGGCAAGGAACATCATGGAAATACGTAAGCAACAAGTTAAGAAAGCAATGGTAAGGGGAAAAGCGAAAATCAGAGAAGAGTAAAGTAAAGTAAAGTAAAGTAAACTAGGAAAAGGTCCAATTCAGACGATGGACCACAGACCACGAGCCGATAGAATTGATTCGGAGTCAAGAGTTATCTTCCAGGGCTTCCTCCCGAGGGATAGGAGAAAAAAGTCACCCGACCACCAGGACCCCAGGACCCCAGGTCCTGACAGCCAAGCCAACAAGTCCGGGTAAAGTAGCGAGGAAGTAAGTCGGATGGATGGACCACAACGTAGGAGTAAAATGTGGCATCGACAGACGCTTACTCGCGTCCTGAAGCTGTTACATGCGTAGAAACCCCATTATATGTCCAGCTCTTGCTGGTACGGTGGTCACGGTGGTGGTGTATGTATCACATATGAAACGTGTCCTAATGAAGCGGGAGTCGGTGCTGCATGTGACGTAGGATCAAATGTTCCCGTCCCTTATCTGGCCGTGACTCAGCTCGCGTTCATCTTATTGTTTGGCATGACACCGTATCAGATTCGTTCTTGCTCGCTTTTAGGCCGTTAATCTAGTTCGGAATTATTTGCTTCGGTTTTGCTTCTGCTCTTGTAATTCGAACGCAAAACATTAAACTATTCCGCTGCTGAATCTTTTGGGTTCACTGTCCCTTTCTTTGCTTGCTCCAAAGGCGTGCCGTTCTTCGGGATCCAGCTTGAGTTGTCGGTGACGGTGATTGCACTTTTCGATCCAGGGCAATTGTGAGGATCGAGATTCGAGATTCGACTTACCGAGACGAGTATTGAGAAACGTACATTTTTAACATTTGTACCTTACAAGTTGAGAACCCAACAACTGCACTTGGAAATACGAAACAGTTTCAATTGTTTTCCTCCGTTATGCAATCAGACGATCGAGAGACAGCAGTGTCAGCATTATTGCAAACAGATTCAAGCATCGCAGATCTGAGCTGAGCTTGTTTCTTGTGTAAAGTACAGTTCTGGAGTTCGTTGTATAAGTGTCTTGCTTTGCGAGATCCTTAGCTGATCAATTGTATGAACATGAACACTTTATGCCATACAATTGATCATGTTACAGTTTGAACATGAACAGTTCATCTCAAACTGTCGCAAAAGGTTAAGTAAAACGAATTTCAGGTAACCAAGAATTCACGTGTGATGCACATGCCTTTAGTGGACGTGGCCTTGTTGAATACGGATTCAGAAGGCCGATGATCAAAAGGTAATGTTGAGTCGTATGTGCGCACGAAGTACGAGAAGAACTCCTCATCGTCGTCCTTGCTTGTGTATCATCTTGCTCATTCAAGATATCGACCAGTCTATGCTAATGCAGCGAGTACATAGATTGTATGCAGGGACAGTGCTTTTCACAGAACGCTGCCAAATTGCTATGGAGTTTCATGCCATATAGGGCCCAAAAAGGGAGATAGTCTGTATGTTTCACTGCGTCAACGAGAGGAATGTTCATATGATTGAGACTCATTGAAAGCAAACTCGTTCATGTATGAGCATTTGGGTAAAAAAAAGTCTTTGCTCGATCACAAGATGCAACTTTTGTGTACATGTTCAGTTTTTAAGTACCACTTGTACCTCTTTTGGTGTAAAGACATTCGTGATGACTTTTAAACAAATGGAATGGAGATTCTCCAGGATTACTTCGATAAATGAGCTGTATGCGCGTCTGCCATTGCCCCACCACCAACATATCTGAATCGGTGCAACCCAGTTATCTGAGTACTCTATTATAGCTTCACTTCTTATGTCAAACAATATTCTTAGTGAAATAACGAACAGGATGGAAGGACTCATCAAATCCTAACGAGGTGAAACCAAAAGGTAGACATGGGGCTATACCCAATAGCATCACAGATGTGAAATTGTCCTAGTGCATCTAAGATATCGTCGGTATCTTTATCAAGGTAAGTAATCTAACAACAATCTGATCATGAAAATCGTCATTGCTCTCTTAAGAATAGCATAAGTGAGTTCTTTTAAGTGTAATGAAAACATGCTGCATAAAATCTGCTATAAAAATAAACAAATATAATCAAACTTATGATGTCTAGTCAGATAGACTACCGTGCGCTCTCTCACAAACATATTGAACATAGTGTCTATAAGGTTGTAGAAATCTACAGCCGAGAAAACGGCCAAGTGAGCTCTTTACAAAAGAAGAAACTGACAGCAAATGATTGTTGACGCTTCACTTCACTCTCCTCTAGAATAGTAGACAATAGTCGTATTTTAAATTATCTCACATCTAATATCTAAATTGCATAAGCTAATTTTGGTCAATTGCTGAGTAATCTAACTCTCTTTACGTGAAAAAGTTATTTATCATAGCATAGCAAACAGCACATGGTCAATGGTATGAACAGTGTCTTACTTCAAATATTTTAGAAAGTCAGTGAGTTACGTAGATACATAATGCATCTTACTAATGCATCATTCATATGTTAGTGATAAAGTTCTAAATAGAAAAATAAGAAAATCGTAATTTTATCACTCAAGAAGAATTAACTTGTGTTGATAAATAATAA